ACTGTAAGGAATCCAGGTAAGAGGGGGTCATGGGTGTCTAGATGACAAATAGTAGCATTCTGAAGGGGAGTGTGGGCAGGAAGAGGGGCCTTAGACCTGACCCAAGAGAGGGATGCTGGAGAACAAGGCTCGCTAGGCTTGGCTGTAGGCTGTGGGGGCGAAGACAGGGAGGTGTCCAGGAGAATTTCCAGCTTCCAGCTTGAGCAAGTGGGTGGGTGATGGTGACGGTGACAGAGACAAGCCAGGGACCTTGGAAGCAGAGCAGGTGCAGGTGGGTAGAGCTAGGGACCTGGGTCTGATCCTAAGGCTATGTCTAGGAAGCACTAAGACCTACAGGTACTGAACCCAGAAGAGATAATTAAATTCAGAATGGTGAGATGACCTGGTGAGGATGGCAAAGGGGTGGTGCAGGGAGAAGAGGGGTCAGTTTAACTCCGAGGAGCCATGGCAACAGCAGGACCTGGGGGCAGAGTGGCCAGAGAATCTGGGCTTGGACAGTCAGAATCAGGAAGCCAAAAGATTATCCTCTTTCATACCCTGAAGGCATCTGGCCTTGAATCTCCCTCTCTCAGCCAAGGAGCACACCCGTGCCCAGATAAAAGAGTTTTCTTACCCTGTATCCCTTCATCCCTCTGGACAAAGCCAGGTTCTCCCTTCCAAGCATGACAGTGCATGTCTATAATTCCAGTACTTAAGGAGCTGAGACAGAACTGCCACAAGTTCTAAGTAGCAACCAGGCAAGCCAGGGCTACACAACACAGTAAGATCCTGTGAGTTGAGTGAATAAGTGAATGGATGAATGAATGCATGCCAAGTTCTTCCAGGTTCAGCTCAGGCAGCCCCTCACCTAAGTGAAGACTCCCCAGGAATTGCCTGCTGTCTTGCTACCAGTCACCCTGTCTGTCTTTTAATAACTGTGGGACTGTGGTCAAATAACCTCAGGTCCCTCATCTATACCATGGAGATGACGCCCATCTTTCCCTCGTTGGTAAAAATGAGTGTAAAGTGCTTTGAGGAGAAACCATAGGAGAAACCCCATGTAAGCTTTACCGTCACTAATATCCCACCCACCTTTGGACAGATAGTCAGGCCCTCAGCCTTCGATGGCCTACCTTCAGGAGCTATTTTCAAGCCTGTCCCCTCTCTAGATAATATGAAAAGACCAGTGCTAAATGAAAGCCCGGGCCCTTGTTCAAAACAATTCTCTCCAGACCATGGCGGCAGAAAGTTAAAGGTGTGGAGGCCCACTAGGCTACCCTACCTTGAGCCAACCTGTGCTAGCCTTCAAGTGAGACAGTGAAGATGCCACCTGACATTTTCCAGCTAGAATTTCACTTTCTTCTTCCCACTTTATAGCTGATGACATTCAAGTTTAGACATGGGCATGCTCTGCTCATGAACTGCTGGGTTAGGATCTGAACACAGAGCAGACTAGTATCAAAGCTCTACACCTTGCCCTCTGGCTCCCCAGAGGCTGGGAAAACCTGGCCTTGAGGGCTGAGCTGGGTCAACAAGGCTGAGATGTGGCTCAGCCCACAGAGAGGGATCTGAAGACACTAGGACTGCCTCCCCCCTGGGAAGAGACACATAAACAAGGGCTCCCTGGGTACCATCTCTGCTGCTACTCAAGGGAAGGGCTCAGAGAGGGCAAAAGGTCACGCACAAGGAGGCCACAGCACACACATCTGGAAGTCTGACCCTGCCTCTGCTCTTTAAAATCCATTAGGGGTTGCCACTGCTTCTGAGTAAGCCTCCATGTCTCTAGTATATTGCTGAGCCAGGGTTGTGGAGCTTGGCTGTTCCCTAGTCTGCCACACACCCCTTCATTCTATCACCAGGATGTTCTCGAAGCACCAGGGACCATAAATATTGTTCCCTCCCTATTCATCCATACTTCTTTGCCTCCGTGACCACTTGGCATTCTCCGTGTCTCAACTAAGACGTCCAACCTCTCTGGAAGCCCTTCCTGAACCCCAGAAAGCAGAGGAACAACCTACAGCGAAAGGCCCATGAACCATTACTTTCAACACATGTCACAGCTGCTCTAGCCCAAGACCCTACTACAGCACGAACTCCATGGTTCCCAGAGCTTGCTGTACCAGTGCTACTGAGTAACTGTGTCCCCTGCAGCAGAGGCAAGAGGACCCTCACTCCCTTCTCCCACTCCTCCCCTGCCTCCTTCTGTTTCTTGTGCAATGGCCCTGAATGGTATCATGGTATTTTTGTTTTGTTTGGTTTTTGAGACAGGGTCTCATGTAGCCCAGGCTGGCCTCAAACTTGTTATAAGCTCAGGTTAGCCTTGAGCTCCTGATCTACTTGCCATCAGCTGGGATTACAGGGTATACTATCATATTCAGCTCTTACTCAACTATCTTGAGCTCCAAGTGTGAAAAGTCCAAACTTGCAAGGGCCGAGAATCATCAGAAAAGGTTCCACCTGCCCTAGGCTGGTTGTATATTCCAGTACCATACTTAATTCAGCAGTACCTTCTAGGTAGGTGGGCCAGTTTGGATGCAAAGCATTCCTAGTTTGAGCTTGGATTTTTGAAATAGGCCTCATTCTGTAACTCTGCTATGTAGTCTAGGCTTATAACACTCCTACTGCCTCTGTCTTTCCAAGTGCAAGGAATACAGGCAGGTACCACCAAGCCTGGCAATCATTCATGCTTCCCAGAGCCAACGAAGGAAAGGGAGCTGAGAGCAACACCTGTAGTAATCACAGGTGGAGGACATGAACCTTTGCTCTGTCTGATGCCCAAGTACCTAGTCTCCTGTCTGCCACTGACCCCAAACCCTTGTGACTCACCACTCACAACCAATCCATCTCCCCCACAAAGCACATCCCAGCCTAGTCCCTATGTCCGGTCACGGACACCTCTGTGGATCACAGCCCCATCATGAAAAGAGGCCAGTGGCCAAGTCATCTGTACCCACTGTGAAAGAAATACCCACATGTCAGCCAAACACAAATAGGGAAGACACCCCATTATCAGCAAAATGTTGCTGTAGGAGATGCACTCTGTACCCCAAGTCAGCAGAATGCTAGCAGGAAGGGCCATTGTTATGGTCAGCAAAATGCTGTGTGAGAGGCACTGTCCTACACCTCTGTGCCTGTTGGCTCATAACAAGACCGGGGTATACAGAAAAGCCTTCCAAAGTAGGGTTTCTGGGGTGGCTGTTGCCTGGGGTGAGGGTAAGGCTTCAGCTGGGGAGTCGGGCAGACTCAGGTGAGAGTTCTCACAGGGCACTAATGAAATCAACCACCAGCATCCCCCGCCCCTCCCCTGGGACCCTCCAGGCTCCAGCTGATGCAATGCCCAGCCTGGTAATTGTTTTCTTCACTCCTTAAAGGGCCAGCTACTACTGCAACTATGGGCAGGCATTACCCAGACTCCTGACAACCCACAGAGAGCTCAGCACCTGCTCAGGGAGAGGAGGGACCCAGAGAGCCAGCAGCATCAGGCCCGGGCTCCAAAGCATACAGTCCAATCAATGTCCATAGACTAGGAGTGGCAAGGAGGGAGAGAGAACAGTTAAGACAGTGACACCGACCACATCCCCTGGAGGAGGGAACAAGGTCCCTGCTGAGTCCACAGCTCCTGTCTTCAGCACGCCTGCTCCAGCAAGAACTTGGCACAGTGTTGCTTATAGTTCAGTAGTTATGCCCTGAGCCAATGGGGCTAGACTCAGGGAGAAGCTGTTCAAACCAACCAAACCACAGTATTTACTCCTCCTAAAACATAGATCTGTTTTGTTGAAAGAGGCTCAGAGAAGGCAAGTGCTTTCTTTAATCTCACATAGAAAGTATGAGAGCCAGGGTTTGAAGATAAGTTTCACCCCTTGTAAATGCCCAGATGTCTGTTGAACCCCAGAGAGTCCCTGCATATCTGGTTCAAACATAACAGGCTCCTGTCCAGAGAATGTCCCATTAGGCTACCCTCTTCACTTGCCTGTATGGACAGTTGCCAGCTGCGTGATTGTGATTATGGACTAATTGATGGCTGGCAGCAGCTGTGGAGATGGTTTGTTAACCCCTTGGTGAGAGACCTCCTTTCTCCCATTCAGGCCCCAAAGCCAAGTGAGAAATCATCACCAACAGATCACAGGGCAACGGGAAAAGCAGCAGCCTCCTTCCCACTCACAGATCTCCCCTTAGAGACAGGGCTGGACACAGCCATTCCCCCAGGCCCAAGCCTTGAAGGCCCGTGGTGGCATTGCCAGCTAGAGCCCCTTGTTTCTCTGGCCTTAGGTATAGCATTTCCCATCTCAGCCTGGGACCACAAGAACTATGGACCATTCCCTAGCTTCTGAGTCACTAGAAGGAGACTCACTCATTGAGGCTGGGTTGTCCAAAGATGATTGGGGCCTGGGATGCGGGCAGCCAGGAGACCGGCCAGGGGGACCTATCCTCCCAACCGAACCAGAATATGCCACAGTGACCCATGAAGGGTCTTGCCAAGTTCCCTGAAGCCCTGGGCAACCTATCGTGCCCCTGACCACTTTCCCCCCAGCTTCCCAGAAGCCCCCTCTTCCCACCCTGAGGCTGCGTGAGCACCACCTCTCTCCTTTCCTGGGGAGGGGGGTGTTTCTCCGGCTACAATGGTGTCACGATGGGAGGAAAAAGTGGCCGCTTCCCAATCAGGGTACAGATAGGAGGGAGAAAGGCAGGCTGCCTTTCCAGGAGAGATTTTAAGCACTTTCCAAAAATGCTATGCGAAGCAATGCTGTTGTTGAAGACCAGGGCCCCAGGTGAGCCCAGCGCGTCAGCAAAGTACTCCAGATTCTGGGGTTCCTACCCCATTTTCCAGGCTTCCCCATGTTCAGCCCCCGCCCCACAGCCATCCCAGGCTGTGCGCATCTCGGGCCCCCGCCCCCCAGACCTGGCACACGTTCCTACGTAGCGCTCGGCGGCCGGCCAGAACCCCCCTTCCCCGGCGTGGTCCCCTGTCCGCAGCCCCCTCCCCACGCCCACTCGCAGGCGCGCAAGGCCTGATGACTTACCCCGAGATGGGGCCGGGGTCCACGCCGGGTGCGGGGCTCCGCTGGCGGAGTGGCTCCGCAAGGCGAGGCAGGTGCTGCCCTGGGACCCCGCCCCGCGGACCCGGCGGTAGGCGCGGCCCGGCCCCTGGCGGGCTCGGACTCCGAAGGGGTAGGGACGCGGGGCGGGGACGGGCAGCGACAGAGACTCACGGGGGCATCGCCCACCGCCGGGCCGGACAGCTCCGCTTCTCTCCGCCTGCGCTGCTGGCTCCGCGGACGCCACAGTTCTCAGTAGCCGCCGGGTGCAAAGCCTGAGCCACGGCTGGCGGGAGGCGAAGAGGGCCCTGCCAGGGGCGGGGCCTCGAGCTGGTGGGAGGGATTAGTGAATGGGGCGGGGCCCCATGATGGGCGGGGCCGTGGGAATCTGGACCTTCTAGGTCTATCCATACCGAGTAGGCCTAGAAGGGGCGAACCTCTAAGAAGCAGGGGTTGGGGCAGCTCAAGTAGTTCTCTGTCCCTAAGATGCTCCTCCTGCCCTCTGCCTGTCCACTCCTCTTCCCTTGTCTTTGAGGGTACCTCCCAGGTGCCCCCATCTACTCTGAACCAGGTCCAGGAATGTCAGTTAGTGAGCAATAAGGCTAAGCAACTTACAAACGTAAGAGTCCATTTTAAAGACCAAGATTTGAAAAAAAAGAAAGAAAGGAAGGAAGAAAAGGAAGCTCAGAGAGGAGAAAGGACTTGCACAAGTTCCTGCTGTGAAAGGCTTTCTGGAGCTAGAGAGATCTGATCAGCAGTTAAGAGAGCCCGCTGCTCTTGAAGGGGATCAGAGTTCCACTCCCAACACCCACATCAGGCAACTCACAACCACCTGTAACTCCAGCTCCAAGGCATCCGATGCCCTCTTCTGGCCTCTGCAGGCATCAGCACACTTATGCTCACACACATACAAACAAAGTAAAAATACATCTTTTTTTTTTTCCTTAAAAGACTTTCCAATGCCCCCTTTGGAGTTAGGAGAAGGGATTAGAGTATCAGGCCTCTGTGTTAACCCCCTCCTCACCTGTGGTAGTGGTTTTCAATTTGGTTGGTCTTGTCCTGAGGAGATTTTTCTTAATATCTGTAGTTATTTTTAGTTTCTGAAATCATAAAGGGCTTTCTTGATGGTTTCTGTTAAGAAGAAACTCTGGAACTGTACTGGCCAGTCCTGACACCAAGAGTTCTCAGACCCAAAGTATCAGTCTCTCCTACCCCATATTTGTGTGTGTGTGTGTGTATAATATTACATTACACATATTATGCACACACACACACACTTATACACATGTACACATATATCCAGGGAGGGTTATTAGAATGGCTTACAGGCTGTGGTTCAGCTAGTCCAACCATGGCTGTCTACCAACAGAAAGCACAAGAATCCAGTAGTTGTTCAGTCTACGAGGCCAGATGTCTCAGCTGGTCTTTAGTATGCATCCAAATCCTGAAGAAGAAGGCTCTAATGTCAGTGAAGGAATTGACTTGCTAGTGAGAGTGAAGGCAAGCAGACACAGAGAGCAAGCTTCCTTCATCCATGTCCCTTACATAGGCTGCCATCAATGGTGGATCTTCCCACCGACAAAGAGGGCAATTAAAAGTGGGTCTTCCCACTTCATATGATTTAATTAAGAAAAAAATCCCTCACAAGTGTGCCTGGCCACTTGGATTTCAATTAATTCCAGATGTGGCCAAGTTGACAACCAAAAAGAGCCACCAGGAAGGGCTTGGCATCTGTCTGAATGAACTTAGGTGGATGTCCTGATTTAAGCCTCCGCAGCTTAGGGCCTGAGGATACCTCTCCTAGGGTCCCACCTGCTCCCAACTTGCTGTGCTTAAGCAAGCTTTGGACTAGCTATCTCTGCTCTCAGGCTGGAAGGTTTCTTTTGTTGTCATTATTTTTGTTTTTTCTTGAGACAGGGTTTCTCTGTGTATGCCTGGCTGTCTTGGAACTCATGTTGTAGACCGGGCTGGCCTCGAATGCAGAGATCCTCTTGCCTCTGGCTCCTATGTGCTGGGATTAAAGATGTGTGCCACCAGGCCTAGCTACTGCTGGAAGATTCTTAATTTCACAAAATATGAATGATGAGTGAGAAGGTGGGAAGAACATGGAAATGACTCAGATAAAGGGCATCCCTCCCTCATCCCATTTCATACCTTCTCCACATGGTAAACTGAGGCCCAGTAATGTAAAAAGCCAAGAGCTGGATTCCTTAGGTCATCAGCTGAGATTCATGATTTTATTTGTTTATTAAAGATAATGTTGAAAAAAAATGATAATGTTGTTACCATCTAATCTAGGCCTAGAACTAGAGCCTGTATGGTAGGCGGCCTGTTCCGGGCAGAGCAAGCAAGGGAATTAGATTAAAGGAGGCAATGTGAGGGCCGGCCAGGGAAGTATCTGGAAACTGATGGGGGTGAAAGATAGTGAATTCAGAGCTGTGAGGGGTAGAACACTTGAGGGGAGTCGTGCTTCCTCTTAGCCCCCTGTCACAGAGAGGGACCCATACGTCAGGAGCTGCTGCTGGCATCATGGTCTCTTTGCCCATTGTTGAAACTTTCCTTTCTAAGGAAATACGCAAATTTCAGGCCCTCCTGTGTATATGTTTGCAGAAGATTGAGGTGAGTTGACTCTTAAGTGCAAATAGAAGAATAAGTGTGCAGGATTTTAAAAATAAGATTAAATTACATTAAGAAAGTGCTATAAAGTCTATGTTCTTACACAGTATGGCCGTGCAGCAGGACAAGACATCCCTGAAGCAAAGTGGGCTACAGAAATGGACCCACTGATGACTGCAGCTCAGAGACAACCTAAGCACTATATGAATCCCAAGAAGAGAGAAACTTGACATCTCCAAACACAGAGTAATGTCAAGGAGATGGAAGTGTTCATTACCCTGACTTGCTCAGTACATATTGTACATGGGTGCTGAACCAGCACACTGTCCTACATAAACAAATACAATTAGCATCTGGTAACAAAATGTTTTTAATGTTTAATGGAGAGAGAAATGCTAACTACCCTAATTTGATCATTGCACACTGTTTACATGTATTGAGTTATGACTCTACATAAATCTGTACAATAACAAACAATAAATGAAAGAAATAGGCCCAGCCACACTGGGGAATTTCATGAAGACAGTGTTTCAGATAAACTGGGGGTGGGGGGGGTTGGAGAGGCTGGGCATGGTGGGCAACGCCTGTAATCCCAGCACTCGGGAGGCTGAGAGAGAAGGATCAAGAGTTGGAGGGTAGTCTGAGCTACAGAGCAAGATGTCTCAAAAAAAAAAAAAAAGAAAGAAAGAAAGAAAGAAAGAAAGAAAAGAAAAAGAAAAAAGAAAAAAAAGAAAGAAAAAGAAAAAAAAAGATGGGGATATAGAGAAAAAAATAGACTGCTCATTAAATGGGTGGAAGGACTGGCTAATGGTTTGGGGAAACAGAAAACAAGTCACATCTTACACAGGCAAATAAACTTCAGGTGGAGCACATATTTATATAATAGCACCATACGATATACCTGGAGAAAAACATGGGCAATTGTTTTGATCATCTGGAAACCAAAGACTTTCTCTAAGCTAAGAAACCGTAACGGAAAACACTGAGACGTTCGATAATATTCCCTACCAAAGAAGTGACCGTGATATCAAATGTGAAAGACAAATCACAAGCTGCAGGAGATAAATGCTCCCCACTCTGCCTGTCCCTCTGTCCTGCTGTCTCCTCTCCCAAGCCTAGAGGAATACACAAGAAGGGCCTGTGAATCCAGACCAGGCACAGCATATCACATCACAGAGACTCTTCCTAAGGCATCCCGGCCAGCGCCCACCTGTTCTAGGACTGGGAAGGCCCGGAAACCCCAACTCTGCCATCTGGGTCCTCAGCAGGTGATAAGGCTAAGCCAGAGTCCGCCTGCAGGCTGCTCACCACTTCCCTCATGTGGCCATTCTGGAAACTGCAAGTTTCAGTTCAGGCTGTTTTACACGTTTGTCTTCTTCTCCTTCTTCTTCCTTCTTCCTTCTTCGTCTTTCTTCTCCTTCCCCTCCTCCTTCTCCTTCTTCTCCTCTTCCTCCTTCTTTCTTCTTCCTTATTCTCCTTCTTCTTCCTCCTCTTCCTTCTCCTCCATGAGTCCAAGGCCAGTGGCAGTCAGAGGGCACCCTTAAGAAGTTTGAGTAAATTCCAGGGATTGAACTCAAACAACCAAGTTTGTGAAGCAAGAACATTTACCTGCTGAGTCGTCTCCTGGACCCCATGGTTTCATCTGTAAAAAACAAACAAGCAAAAACCTGTGTGTGTGTGTGTGTGTGTGTGTGTGTGTGTATGTGTGTGTGTGTGTGTGTGGCGCGCACGCCTGTCTGTCTGTCTGTGTATATGTATGTGAGGTGAGGGTGGGGGTTTAAAAGATGTTGGTTCTCTAGCTGGGCGCACGCCTTTAGTCCCAGCACTCAGGAGGCAGAGGCAGGTGGATCTCTGTGAGTTTGAGGCCAGCCTGGTCTACAGAGTGAGTTCCAGGACAGGCTCCAAAGCTACACAGGGAAACCCTGTCTTGAAAAACAAAAACAACAAAAAGATGTTGGTTCTCTCCTACCATGCTATCATGTAGGTTATAGGGGTCGAATTCAGGTCAGAATTGGCTGCCACTGCCTTTACCTCCAGAGGCCTTTCACTAGTCCCCACGGTTTTATTTTTAAGTGACACCCAAACCTCCTTATGGCAATAGCTGGGTCTCAAGCACAGCATTGCTGAGAACTAGGGAAACTCTACTTAGGTAGGAAGTCTGTAGGCGCTAGGAGGTGTGACTCATAGGACTCCTCCTCCCCCTTTCTCTCTTCTTCCTGCTGGCAGTGAGATCAGTAGTTTTGCTGCACCTTGTAGCCTATGATGTGTCTCCCTAGGCTGGCCAATTGACCATGGGCTGAAGCTGTGAGGCAAAATGAGACTTTTAAATTTTTTTTTTCTTTTTTTGAGACAGGGTTTCTCTATGTAGCTTTGTAGACCAGGCTGGCCTGGAACTTACAGAGATCTACCTGCCTCTGTCTCTGCCTCTGCCTCCAGAGTGCTGGGATTAAGGGTATGCACCATCACTGCCCGGTTGAGACTTTTTAAATTTTTAAGTTATTATTTGTGTGTGTATGTTATATGTGTGAGTACCAGTGTGCACATGCCACAGGTGTTTGGAAGTCAAAGGACAACTTTCAGGAACCAGTTTTCTCTCCACTGTGGGTGCACATAAACAAATACACAACCCCTCCCCCCAAAAAAACAAGGGTGCTGGAGAGAGAGATTGGCAGTTAAAAGCACCTGTTGCTTGTTATGA